CTTGATATGGTATAAGTACTGAATTCCGCTCAGACCAAAGTCAAAGTCAACCAAAAAAAATTTTTGAAAAAAATTGTTGTTTTCTAAGATTAAAAGATCCAATAAGTTTTGTAAGTGAGCTTTCTCAAAAATTGAGAGTTTTTCAAAGTTTGCAAACATGATATGAATATATAGCAATATTTTCCTGATTTTTACTTTAAAAAATGGAAGGTCTCATATTTTTCTATACTTTATGGTTGGTGAAAGAACATTGTATGATACAGTAACTTTGTATATGAATCACAATAACGCATTTACAAGTTTCGAGGCATTTAGTTCCTAATTTTATAAAAGATTCAAAGGATTCCACTTCGGCAACGCTAGTTTGCTTATACCCTTTCCAGGTGCTTACAAAATTAGGTTTTGATTCCAGATTTTTTCCTAAATTTTTTCAAGACTGTTTTCTAAAAAATTTCCAGTTATCATTTAAAGTTGAGTGCTAAAAGTGTTTTTGTTCTTTTTTTAAAAAAAATGTTTTGTTTTTCCAATTTTGCCGATTGTTTGCCTTGAACCACTGATAGACCTTAATCAAATCATTTAAAGTTTCTTGAACTTTTCAAGATAGTCCGTTTTTGATGGTTTACTTTATTTTCCACCACTAATGGAACATCATTAAAACAAATCATAAATATTATTAGACCAGACCTTGAGCCTTGAACTCATTTTTTATATAAAGATAGAATGATTCAATGTATCATCTTTTAAATCAGTCAGTACAACCGGGTTTTTACTGATAATTTTTGACAAACAAACAATTTTGGTAAAACCCTCTATTTGATCGATTGAGTTATGCTTTGTTCTTGGGCCATTTTGTGAACAACAAATTGCTGGTGTTTCTTCATGTAATTTTATATCCTTATTAAGAATAATTTTCAAAAAGTTAACTTTATTAATTGAGCAGAGAAATAGGTGTGTAACTTTTTACAGGTAATTTTGAGGCATTTGTGAAGAAAGAAGGTTTTAGATTTACTTTGTAGGACTGTTAAAATTATTTTTCTCTTTGAAAAACGATTTAGTTTTGTCCAATGATGATTTTTTTTACTGGATGCAAGCTTGGTTAGTGTATTACTTTTTTCATCAGTTACCGTAGATGTCTTTTTTTCAACTGATTGATGATATTAATAATTTCCTGTACCTTACAAAGATAAAACTGAACTGAAAGTTTTGATTCATTTGATATAACAACTCATGATTGAGGGATATAGAAATTATTTTGTCAACATTGCTGGCGAAAAAGAAATAGTTTGTTTTTAATATCGATTTGAGAAACAATCCTGCATCCAATGTTATCTAAAATTTTGCCCACGGCATACTCAACCCTAGATTTTTTCAAGTGTAACTTTGAATCGATAGTTTGGTCCTGGTTTACCAATACAATTTGAATTTTTTTTCGTACTAGAATTTTGATTTAGCTCTTTTCAGTTTTTTTTTATTTTTAGTCTCTAAATTTTAGATATTTCTCAATGGGTTTGACGTGTTTAAATTCCGAGCTCGATGAAATCTTTTTAAATTACTTCTCAGGTTCCCTAGTTAAACGCTCAACTTGTATATTTTTAAATGAAAAATGTGTTTTAAAGTTCTATCCTTGCTAAAATTGTGTCGATTGTAAGTTTTCCTTTTTCGATGAATGATGTGTTGCTAAGTTTTATCCTTGATAAAATCTTGTGTAGCTAATATTTATCCTTGATTTAATGCTACCCAAAAAACGCAGTTTTGAAAAAACCTCACTGATTTTTCTTTCTTAGGCGAATTCACAGAGTTGAGTCCGCGTTGATTTTTACGATGAATGGATTGCTTCCCGTTTCAAAGAGACCATAAATTCTTCTTTCCATAGATCAAAAAATGTTTTAATTTTGTTTTTCAGCTTCTGTTTTTGCCAACCCGCGTAAGAAAAGTTTGGAAACCTTTTTTTCATTTTGCAAAGAAAAATATTTTTGCAATGATGAATAAAAGTAAGTCGGATATTGTCACGCTACTCGAAAAGCAATCAGCTAATTGTTTTTAAAAATATGTGATTGAGGTTACACAAACACTAAATCGCCGTTTGTTGTTTATCCGTCATCAAATAATTGATCAATTATTGAAAGTTGTTACCAAAAACCATCAAATCGGTATGGAAGAGTGGTGAAAGAAACATAAAAAGCTCATTTGTGGTCGTCAAAATAATCAATCGATAAGCATATCCGTGCGTCATAACGTTAGGAAAGGAAACACCAGAACAAATCCCACGAATTTTTTCAGAGGTATTATTTAATAGTTTTCAAACTCTGTTAAGATTCAGAGGCGTTTCGTCATTTGGGTGGAAGTGAAAATCAACTCCAGGCATCAAATGTCACCGGTGTGTCTCTAGAATCCTTCATTTTAATCTACATTAGCCCTAGGAGAGGAAAAATCAGCTGAATGTAATTAACAATTGGGAGAAAACTGTCTTTTTTAAAGCTATTCTGAAAACGGTTTTGATTGAATGTTGGCCCTTTTTTCTCCTGGTTTTGGAAAAAAATGTATAAAAAAGATGTTAGAAATGACTATCTAGAGTTTCTTCTTTTTAGTAAGTGAAAAAAGGTTGGAAAATAACGCAGACAAACCAGATAGTATTGAAATTTATTTCTGAAGTGGTGTAATCTTTTTCCGCTTTTCGATTCAACCCGAACCAAATTGAGTGTTTGTTCCCTCTGTCCCCTCCTCTTTTTAAATACCCCTGGGGATATTTATGGGCTCTTGTCCGACCTGACCTGCCCTCTCCTGGTTGACCACGGGCAGATTACGACGGACCCCATTTCATTTCACATTACCACACACATTTCACGCTTATCTATCACTACTCTTCAGTCTAACTGTTGTTTGCCGTTGACACAAATATACCTCCTCCCTCTTCTCTCACTGTGTCGCCGCTGGTTCTGATGGTTAAATATTGCAGCAAGCAGACAAAAATAGGTGCAGATTGATCTCCATTCCCGTTTCAAATCCTAAAAAATGAAGTTCAAAAACGGAATGTCAAAAAACTGCAAATTATTTCCAAAATATGCGAAGATAGCCAGGACAGGACAAAAATTTTATTGCAGCGAATCTTATTCTGTTTACCGGATCTGCTCAGAGGTTCTCTTATTGTATAAGCTTTGCATTGCAATATGACACGCCAAGTAAATGCAGTGATGGTCGATTAAAACCAATGCTGTCCAATTTGACTCTGACTCTCAAATGCAGCATAGCCAGTCTTTAGACACGGGCAATAAACACTGGAACAGAAACTGGATAGGGGGACGGGGAGGAGCTTAGGTTCATTTTATCCGACCTAATAAAGGTATAGCATAGTTGGTTACTAAACCCGCCGAAACACTAATCAGTTACTTAACAAGCTCTGCCCGATAAATATAATTAAAAACGTAACAGATCTAAGCGATACATCGATAGTTTTTTAATTTAGTCATCGATATGCTTCCGCAACTAACAAAGTGTACAATTGCTTTTTTTGATTTCGGCTTATTTTCGGTTCGTTTATCCATCGGCTACCTTTCGGATTTTTCACCCTTAGATGATACTATGTATATTTTGAGCCCGGGCACAATTGGTTTGCAAATCCAACAAAAACAACGGATAATAGGATAGTCTCCTATTTCGAAATCAACCCCCGTTAGTTTTCATCCTTTACACTCTATATGGACTATAGTGCCAGATTGCCCAGATTCCCATTCTACCCCGTCCGCTCATCCCGTTTATCCAAGTACTAATTTCCGTTATATTTTAAACCTTTTATTGGTATAAATCTTTATATTTTCGTCTCTTTATTGGTATAAAGTACTGTGGCTATGAAAACCAGAATCAGTTATTTCAAACTAACTTGTTATTTTTTTGCCGTTAATGCAGTTGACCTTTAGAAAATTTTTATTCACTTTGGGGAATAAATTTAATTTGGTTAAAAGAACTTCGAATTTAGAAAGATTAAAAAGAAAGGAAGTGCAAAACATTTAGTTCGATGATCTAAAAAAAAGTTCTATTTGAATGCCGTTACATTTTTTCAATATTCATTTATTTGACCGCTATCATTTTTATCTCACTGAGCCAAAAACATACCAGCAAGTTTTTCCAGCCGTTGTTAAATCCAAAAAAGGCACATCATTATCATTTATTCATAGAAGTCGATTGAATAAAGATAAATTCCTTTCAGTGATTTATTGCGCTGTAAAATAAAAATAGTATAATATGAGTCGCCGCGCAGATAACAATTACGTCCCTCCTTCTTCAAGTAACTACCCGAGTAACTATTCCACATTCGTCTCCTCCGGTTACCTGCCTTATAGGGACAATTTCAATTTTGACGACATCCCACGACGAAATTTGACGCCGAATAATGAGAGACCTTCGAGTTACGATCGTATGCAGCGAATGCATACGTATAAAGACCGAGCATGCGCGGCAATAAATCCAGCTGGTAGTTCCGACTACCAGATTTTAAACTCTAGTTCTGCATCCCAGAGCTATCAATTTACAAGACCTGTATTCCGAACCTCTATGAATAACACATCTCGTGAAAACTTGAAGCAAATGATTCGCAAAAGAGAACTCGAATTAGCCAATCAGAGCTCAAGTTACCGCCAAATGCAGTATCAGCCTCGCTGTCGAAACCACCGACTGGCTCTCATTTACAAGACCGAGTCTCAAAATGACTCAGTTAGCGACAGATCTGTCAGTTCGTCGGTCGAGAACCTGAGTAACCCGAGTCAATATAGTATGCTCAGGCCTCTTTCGCCAAATGAAATTAGTGGCGTTGATTACAATGACAATAGCAGGGGTTCATATAACTTCAGTAGTCATAGTTATGACAATCGGAGTGGTTATTACCCTTTCGAGACATCCCCCCAATTGACGTTGCCCAATCGGGTGACCCGAGGGGGCAGGGGTCTCATGCACTTGGGGGAGGGATTGACCCCTGTGAAGACTAATTTGACAGATGTGCTGTTTAGACTAACTGTGGACGACCACCAAGAGTCGAGTCAGAATCCGAATCCTTCTCCTAATTCCAAAAGGGACTACTCTGCTGAACATAGATCAGGTAAGTGATTTTAACGCAACTTCGTCCGGTTTACAGACCTATCTGATTTCTGATTTTGCAATTTGCAAACTTTGCTTTAGACAATGAAGAAAAAGCTTCTTAGATAGCACTTGTTGAATTCAAGTTTAAACTTAAGTGTTGTTTTATTATAAGAAAAAAGTATACAAAATAATAAAAATATATATATTTTTTCGTTTTACTATCCTATATATGTATGTCGACGCTTTTGTTTTAGAAAATAGCCCCAGTCCATCCGGTGCCAATCACAATTTAACATTTTTTCGCAACGCATCATCGCCTCTTGAACCCAAGGCTACATCATCTAGTCGGACCACTGCACGCTCAAGCCATCATCATCATCATCAGCAACATTGTCACAAGAAGACCAGCCTTCCACCAACATCCATATCGTCACTAGTACAACCCCACAACTCCTCCAATGCCGAACCTGGCGGCGACTCTTCGGCCCAAGCAGGTCGCCGGGAGTCTCCGAAGTCGAAGGAGGCTACTCCTGGAACGTCGGCAAAGAGTCTCGAGGAGAATGTCTTGGAGAACTGTGACCTTTATTTATACTACCAATTAGGAGTCGGTAACTTTGGCGTGGTGATGCAAGGGGTGCTTCGGAATCTGGATTCGGGTAAGGAGAGATCAGTGGCTGTGAAGATCCTCAGGTGCTCAGAGGGTGAGTCGGCGGAGAGTAGTCGGCAGCAGATGTTGCGAGAAGCCAAAGTCATGTCTGAACTCAATCACCCAAACGTCATCAAACTGATCGGTGAGCTTTTCCTTTCTAAATACTTTTTAATAGTTTCAACCGAAAACATAAAATCCATTACAATACAGCTGAAAGAACTACACAGCGCGAGAAGAATGGAACCTAAACTTTTTTTGTCAAACGTTGCTAGACCCATTACTATCATCAGCATGTAGTTGATGCATCAGTAAGCAGGAAACATCAGATAGCGCAGCACTTTGAAAAACGGAACTTGATTCAATTTGGTAACGACTCCAGTGGTCGATTAATGTTTGATGTAGACTTTTCTTTGAAGCCATTATACTTTTTTAATCATTGTTTTTGAAGGAAATGGAAAAAAAAGAGTCTATTCAGTACAACAGACAAGAGACATGAAAGCTTTTTGAAGTGCCCAAATCCAATTTTTGGTAAACTCAAGCAGCAGTGTTTCATTTAAGCTGGTCTGTATTTGCCTGATTATGATCAGAACTCAGACTTAAATGGGCGTCATCTCAATTTTGAAAGTGATTTACAAAAAAGACTCTCTTCGATCGCGAACGGTGCTGTTTATGAAATAATGACATAAGCAACGAATTGCATTCATTGGTCTTAACTATGTCTGAGACTTAAATTAACTTTTGGCTGAGTAATAATGATTGTCCGTAAATTCCGTTTCTTTACGGTCGTCCAATTTGCTTGTCGTCTAATTTCCTAGGCCCTCTATTATTTACACTAATTTATATCTGTTCATATGTGATGTTTGCTCTTTGCAGGCATCTTCAATGGTCCGGAACTGATGCTGGTGTCTGAGCTTGCCCCTATCGGACAGCTTAACAAATACTTGAAAAAGCACAAGTGAGTCACACCCACTCTTAAGATTAAAGCAACCTTTCACTCCTTATTATAGTTGGTAGTGCCTTCCACAAAGCAGAATTTTTTGTCCGATCAACCCCGAGCCCGTACCCTGGGGGTTTTCTGTGCAAGATCTGGAATTCTTTGTTTCTTACATTAGTTGATTCTCAGATCTGAAATTTTTTTTCAGAACCCTAATAAGAATTTACAAATTTCAGATCTGAAATGTGGATCTAAAATGGAAAATTTCAGATCTGAAATAACCATGAAAAACAAAGTTTCAGATCTGAAATCAGATCTGAGAAATCCTTTACCCGCACTGACAAAAATGGATTAGGATCGATTTTAGTATGAAAAAAGTACGTCGATTAAATTTAGATCGATTTTAGTATAAAAAAAGTACGAAGATTAAATTAAAAAGATGAAGATTGATTTGGATCAATTTAAAATCGACTTAAATTGATCTTAAATCCCAGCTAAAAAAATTGATCCAAATCGATTTTAAATCAATTTAAATGCATTTTTTCCAGTCTGAATTTGTTTTCATTTTTAAGGGGATTAAAATGGACTTAAATCGATTTAAATCGATTTTTTTTCATTCGAGTTTTATCAGTTTCAAATTTTTATTGCATTTACTTCTTGCCTATCATTTTTCATTTTTCATCCATAGCGTATTGTAGCATAAAATAGATCAAATAAGAAGACCAAAATATTGATAAAACTCGATGATTTTCTTGCATATTTTGAGTTCAAAAACTGATCTATATTTACCCTTTTCTTAATTCGTGACCTTTTTCTGGTTTGTTACCCAAGATTTTGCCCATAATCTGATTTACAATGATTCTCTATGATTTTATTGCAAATTTTTGAGTTTAAAACCTGATTTATGTGGGTCATTTTAACGAGTTCTATAACATCTGGCAAGAGTGTTTATGTTTAAAAATCGAGAATAACAAATTCAAACTGTTTTTTTAAAGGGTATGTTTTTTTTCGCCGTGTTAGCAAAAAAAATCGATTTTATTGTGTCGGAAAATCCATCGAAATCGATTTCAATCGATTTTTAGGCACTTAATTTGATTTAAAATTTTCAAAAAAATCGATTTAAATTAATTTAAAATGGATTTAAGTGAGATTCTGATGGGTTTAAGTGAGATGCGGATGGATTTTAGTGAGTCAAAAAAATTCATCGAAATCGATTTAAATCGATTTTTTAGATGCTTAAATTGATTTAAAATTTTCAAGAAAATCGATTTAAATCGAATTAAAATCCATTTAAATTCGTAAAATAAACATGGTTAATCGATTTGGATTGATTTAAAATCAATTCAAATCAGTTTAAATTGACCGGAAACCATTTCTGTCAGTGCGGGTACCGCTTAAAAGAATACCCATAACATCAGCTTCTTAAAAGTTAGAGAGTCGTAGTAGCCTTTATCGTCATAAATCATAGCGTCTCTCACGCAAAGTAGACAGATATTCCCGGCAAACTCCTCAACTAAAACTGCTTATTCTCACAAAATCAATTGTCTCCTACAGTAACTGCCCGTTATAGAAACTCATTTCTATAAAAACCCGGTGAATTTGTTTTAAATAGAAATAACATTCAGAAACAAAAACTTCTGATTCCCAAAAAGCTGAATTTTTTCAACATCACTGTTTTTCGAAAAAAAAATTAAATTTAAATGCGACTTGTCATGTAATCAGTATCTGCGTTTCTCAAGGATGCAATTGCAAAAAAACTGGGAATTTCTAGGGTAATAGAATTTTTCGTAAATTCGCATTTTTCTCTACTCGAGCTCATTCTTAAATTTTATCATCAGCGGTATGCTTTCGTTGATTCGACGCCGGCCAAAAATAAAAAAAACAGAACTACAAAGCGTTTTGGTCTTTTTCGTTTTGATACAAGCTGTACTTCAAATTCTTTGAAGCAATTTTTAAAAAATTGTGGTCGTCCATAAAACATGGTTTAAATATCCTGCTTTTCAGTTTACTTTGAGTAGAGATACTTTGCACACCCCAAAAACAGTAGATAGCAGAAGCTAAAAAAAATCAAAAAATAGCAAAAATTGAGTCCGAATCATTTATTTTTCAGATCTGAAATAACCAAGAAAAAGTTTCAGACCTGAAATTAGATCTGAAATAACCAATTCTTAAAGTATACAAGCGTTATTTAAGCATTTCACAACCTATTTCAGATCTGAAATTTAGATCTGAAAAAGATTATTTCGGATCTGTTTTAGAAAATTTACTGGGTACGGAGGGACGGAGGGAATTGTGACTAAGGGTTGTTCGAGTACTTCAATTTGCAGCAGACGATGCGTTCTGATTGATTTATTCCGAAAAAATACTCAAGTTATATTGCTATCAGTAGTTTTTTTACCAGACGTAACCAGAAATGTTACTTAGGCAACAGTTTATACCTAAGAATTTTTTCTAAGTATAGCAAGCTAAAACAGAGCTAAATTCAGTTTCTAATGACTAGCCAAAAAACGGCACGCAAACTGGGGGAAAATTACAGCACAAACATAAAGCACATAAGTCGAAAAAATGAAAATGAAAAAAAAAACTAGGTGAACCAAAAACTAGGCGGTCAATCAAAGCTGGAGGTACGTATTTGATGTTTTTTGATTTTCTCACACAAAATTTGCATCATTTCAAAAATTCGACGTTGACCAAAACCTTAGTTGTTTCTCTAGTAAAGTAAAAAAGAAAGAAAATTTTTTAAATTTTGGATTTTTCCAAGATATTATTATTTTTCTTGCAAAAAACTAAGGATTCGACGCTTCTGCAGGAAAAATTCTTGCAACCGGCACTTCCTATTGAACTTTTTCTCAGATTTGATGAAATAAATTTTAATTAAATTCGAAAAGTTTTAAAAAAATGGTCAACATTTCGAAAACTTGACTTCCAAAATTTATAACTTTTTTCGGTTAAAAGTAGGTCGTGGCCGTCAAAGTAGAGAAAAAACTCCTGCAACGGGGTTTTGATTAAAAAATTAATCTGAAAATTGTCTCGGTAGTTTTCGAATAAAGTCAAAAACTTCCACAAAACGGTCAAGTTTCAAAACTTTGGCTTGTTGGAAGACCATCATAACTTTTTTAAAAAAAAAATGAGAACAGCCACTTATAAAGGTAGATTTTCAACAACTTGTTGTTTCTCTTAAGACTATTATATCAATTTTGGCACAATAGTTATCGAGAAAAGTCGAAAAAAACGTTTAACAAACCAAAAAAATTGGCATTTCTAATAATTATAGTTTTTCCAGTTAAAAATAAATTGCAAGACATTCACGCAATTTTTAATATCGATTGCATCAAACACACAGGTTTGCAAAGTTTTTCTAGAGAAAAACAAAAAAGATTCAAAAAATGTGCGGAGGAGCTTTTCAATCCATTTCATTCATTGAAACCAAAGTCTTAGGTTTGGGAGGGTAGTTTTTGAGAGAACGAAAAATAAAACCAAAAAAACAAGATTCCAATATTCCCCCACAGATTTTTTGAAGGCCGTTTACAGAGGTTTATGGTAGCAAAAGAATAGGACAGTATGCAGGCTCACTGGAGGCAGGCGGTCTTTCCATTGATACGCTTTTTGAAAATCGTTGGAATAATGTTTAAGAAGAACTAAAATTTTAGCAAAAAAGGTTTTAATAAAGTTTTAATAATTCCATACACGACTCAATTTGTAACACTTAAGTTTTAATATGATCAGCCTAAAATTCATAGTTTTGCCAATACTTAATTTTAAAAAAACTATTCGAGACCAATTAAATGGCATTTGAAACATTCAGAGCTTTGCCTTGATACAAGCAGTTTCTTTTAATTGTTCCAACTTTCGATACGAAAGTAACGGAATATTTGTGCTCGGGGTGGGTTTTTTTTTCTTCAGACAAATTTCGACTTTTTAACTAGCCATTTTTAACGGAATTTTTTTTACATCATTCAAAAAGTATTGTTGTCTTGAGCTTAAATTTGATAAGATATTTCACCTGTGATCATTTTTCGTAAAGTTATGAGGGTTTAAAGATTGCCATTTTGGCCATTCTGACCAATTTGGTACAATTAACGCGCGATATAATTCGCGCGAATAAGGCGTAAGCGGAGATTTAATCCGTCTTATAAATCGTTCCAAATTGGTTGAACGAAGCTTATTTGCCATAATTGATTTATTACAAGGAACGAAATCTATCTTTTTGTACTTTATATGGCGTGTGGGAGGATGATTTTCATTAAAAAATTCAAATTTCAGAAAAAAAAATTTCATTTTATTTTATTTCATTTTATTTTTTATGTTATTACTGCTGCTCCATAAGCCTTAAAAGGCAGTCGGAACATTCAGGGCTTCGCCCTGATACGAGCAGCCTTGTTTTATTTTTCAAATCGATGTTCAGACCAAATATAATAATCATGAAGATAAAACAGTCCGAACTATAGGAAAAAGGTAGATTTCTAAAGAGTAAAAAGATGACGCTTGCAAACTTTATTTAGAAAATGAATTGAAATGAATTTTATCGATACCAACGGAGTAAATAAATTACCCATTCATTCAATTTTCTACAACTAGCTTGTTTCATCAGCAAGTTTGTTGTGGCTGTTCTACTGAATACTTTTTAGGTTCCTTCATTTTATAATACTTTTCCAAAAAGATGTTATAGCGATTTCTGTATAGGGTTGTATCAATATTCGTTTTGGTAAATCTAGATGTTTTTGTAAATATACCTCTCAAATTTCAATGTCGAATTATTGAGAAGAATCGAGTAATCTGGTATAACCAACAATTTTTCAACTGCCGTTAGTTCAAAAAATTGATTTCTTTGGGGAAGGCCTGGAAACCGTAGATATGTGCGTTTCAGAGTCTGAAACGCACATAAACTCTTGTAACTTGATGATATGCGCTTCAGCCAAAGTCAAATTTAGCTGGAAATAAAAAGCCGCATTTGTTTTTGTGTTGATCTGTTGTTAGGCTGTTTTTAATTTCGAATCTTTTCTGAAGCGTGAATAGGGATCACCAGAATCGTTGGTTGTTAGACCTGCTTATGAAGTAACTTCAATTAATATTTACTAAAACAACATTGATAATCCACAATAAGCTGAAATTCAATGCATTCGAGTTTTTTCTATTGGTTTGTACTATTCCCACGTGTTGCCTTCAAAAAACTATTTTTTGTTTCACCGCAATGCACAATTAAGTTTCAAAAATGCGAGAAATAAGACTACTCGTAATAAAAGACAACTCTACACTGTAAAGAAAGCGACAATGATGAATCCTCTATATAAATTACCGACATGTTGAATAGTCAAAAACATTTTTCTATATATGGCATGCGGCGTATATGTGTAGGAAATTTAAAGATAAGTTTTGAAACTATTTCAAGTCGTATGCTAAGAACACTGTAAGCACCACTGAAAACACCATGATACGACATCTCTGGAATAGGAATGGGATACACTTTAGATTTGGAATGGGTTAATTGAAGAAAGTAATGGATTTCACTCTAATTATTGAAAAGGCGCCAATATTAGCTAACTTTGAGGGAGAGCGCGCCAAAAAAATGCTTTTCGAACCGGTTTTTTCCAAATTTTCCAAACTTTTTACCCGTTTTTTTTTTTTCAAAAACTTTGCCTGCGGCGCAGAAAATTTGGCCAAAACAGCGTCTTTTTACTGCTTTAGGAGAGCTCAAAAAATCAATTTGGTCGACCTAGAAAAAAAGGTCGTTAAAATTTTTGAAAAACCTCAAAAACATTTTGCAAAAAAAAATTGAAAAAATTTTTGAAATTTTTTCAAATTTAAAAAAAAAAAATTCGTTTTTCTAGTCATTTTTTTAAAAACTGTTTTCCAATTGACCTATTTAAATATGATTCTCAAATATGCCTATATTCTTTTTTTTCGTTCAGATTTTTTATCACAACATGCAGAAAAAAATTAGTAAAAAAAAACTTTTTTTTTGTAATTTTTAAAGACTGTGGTCGGAACATTCTGTGCTACTTGCACAGTAACCGGCTATCCTTGTTTATTGTGTGGCTTTGTGTGTCTAGAACTGTTCCAGTGGAGATGCTGATGAACTATGGCCTGCAAGTGGCCAGTGGTATGGCCTATCTGGAGAGGAGGAGTTTCGTGCACCGAGACCTTGCAGCCAGGAATGTCCTCTTAGCCACAGACAGACATGCTAGAATTAGTGATTTCGGAATGTCAAGGATGCTCTCATTCAACAAGGACTACTATAGGGTACGGATGAATAAACATGAATTTCATAAACTTTGCTACCTTCCTTCTCTTCCCTTCCCAAACCTCCCTACCCCCCACACACGCGCTCACCCACGCACATACACACAGACACACGCAACACACAAACATCCTTTCTACGAATGATTTGGCGTTAAACAAGGTTAATTCTGACTCCAAATAGCTTCAAAATATATAGCTATTTACTTCACTGGATAGTGCTAGGGGGCTTCATGTTTCTTTGTTTGTCTGTAGGCGAATGACGGGGGTCACTGGCCTGTGAGGTGGTATGCGCCCCAGTGCATCTACTTCTTCACCTTCACCTCCAAGTCGGACGTGTGGAGCTACGGGGTCACTCTGTGGGAGATATTCAGCTACGGTCTGAGGCCTTACGGGGTAAGGGGAGGACAGGGCAGGGTAACATAGAACAAAAGACCATTCCCATGAAATAAACAATTGATTGAGATTACTAATTCTTACTAGATTGTTTGATAATCAGCGATTAATATTTGAAGATACAAATGTTAATTGAATAATCCTTCTTACAGGATCTTTCTTGGTATCATTTTTTATAGAACACTTAAACGAAAGTCAGTACCTAAACTTCTCCAGACAACCCGCACTTCCTACTGCTTTCTATTAAGCCTAAGCGTCTCTCTCACACAAAAAGTTATATATTATAAAATCATCAGGCATTTGTGAGTTTACCCAATTAGTTCATATACTTACTCTATCTTGTCTATTTTGTGCAATGTATGAATGTGTTTCAGAACATGCGCAGCAGCGAGATCCTGGACATGATTGACAGGGGGGCTCGTCTGAAGTGTCCCCCCAACTGTCCTCCCGAAATGTACTCACTCATGCTTCGATGCTGGGAGTACGAGTGAGTATTCGTCACAAAAACAAACTCTAATTATTAACTTAGTCTGGGTATTTTCTATCGAAGTTGTGACCTTCTTTTGTCTTTTTCAACTTGCGACGCGAAGTCTCTCCTTAATGATGAAAATAATAAATTGTAGTATAAATGGTATTTTATATGAAAAAAAGCAAACAAAGTTATTGACTGACAAAAGATAGGGAAGACGGTATTAGATCCAAAATGTCTGTTTTCAAGCGCCTCAAAAACCTTCTGAATCTAATTGCCAGCCATACTCTGATTCCTCTATTCGTACTGAATGCAATGAATAAATTCGTACTGAATTAATTGTTTCAGAGAAGCAGATCGACCCACTTTCGAGGAAATCTACCAGGTGGTTGAGATCTACTTCCGAGCTCAGGCCTCCAAGAGTCGAGATGTCTACACTGGTTCTGGTGCCACGACATCAGGCCAGAACTAGTATCTCAAATAGAACTAATTCTTATAAGGTGCCAAATGAGAAAGAGCATACTACACTCAGTGCAGCTGCAATATATCTACATCAATTTTAAATTTTCAACACTTTAAATTATAGCAATAAAATTTCATTTGTAATTTCAATCCATTTCAATAACTTGAATAAATACGCGTAATAAAACTCAAGAAATTTCTTTTGCAGTTAACAGAAGCGGGCCATTTGTTTCTTCAGGTGAATGGGTATTTTTCAAGAAAAAAAAAGAATTATAAAAAATGTCAGACTCCAAAAAGATCGAATAGAATCAAAACAAATTGCGCTATCAAAAAGGTTGGTAAATAATTAGCATTTTGGGCCAGAAGAGTTTGTTTGAACAAAGTTTTCTTATTCAGAAAAAAGATCAATATTCATTTCTCGTAAGGATTTTGCGTTCGAATGTGCTTTTTTGTCAAAATCGATACCAGAAAGTCGTACTAGCTCGAGTAATATATAGATTGACTTTTTAAAAATAGTTATCCATACTGTATACATCAGTAAAAAAATATTTAAAAATTATTTTTTGTGTCAAGAAAAAAGTCTCAATGGTTTTGCTCTTCAATGGACTGCATTAAGTGACCAAACATATTGCAATTATTTTGCATCATTTCAAATGGTAATAGATTGAAGCTTGGTTTCGTTCCCTCTTCCCCCTTAAAACTATTACAACAATTTATAAAAAAAAGTACTTAATTGTTTGCACAACCATGCAGTTAGTTTTATTGTTTGAGTTAGAGTTTTTCTCGAACTCAACGGTTGTTTTTATATCAGAAACCGTTTTTTTCCTCTGCATAACGAGGCCAAACTGTGCATTATGTGCATTGTAAGCGGATTCCGCAACAAGGACGCTCCCTTTGTTTTTCTTTTGTTCTTTACTTTCCTTTGATCGTTCCGACAAAATTTTAACATGTTTTAAGACTTGTCTCTGGAATCCAGGATTATGCAGACACAAAATTGTGCGCCTATCCAGTGCACAGTTTGGCTTCGTAATGTACAAAATCAGATACAATTGTTCTATTATTGTTAAACCCTGGCGAACGTTTTGAAGCAGTGAAATAATACAAAACAACGTTTTTCAGTGAACAGATATAAAAGCACGCTTTATTTGCCAAGTTTTTCAACTTGATTTCTAGCTAGCTCAATTTCACCTCCTAACACTAAAGCTGCTAGAATACCCGCTGCGCTGTCGGAATCGATGAAATCTTGTCCAAAAATAGAGCTAACACTTGAAAAACAAAGAAGCGGCAAAATGCTTTTTGATATAGGAAAGCATGAAAAAATCATTTTGAATACTTAATCTCAGAAGTTAGGGGATCCTAAAAGTTGAGATTAAGTTGTCTTGACAACTTTTTGAAGAACATAATTTTTAAATCATTCTTCTTCTTTAAGATTAAGTTGAGATTAAGTTGTCTTGACAACTTTTTGAAGAACATAATTTTTAAATCATTCTTCTTCTTTTCAGTTTTCAATTAGTTTAGTTGCCATGTTTTGTTTCCAACTTTAAGTTTACATCAAAAGTTACAAAGTGGGCACGTTTACAAATGAAAAGTCACAAATGGCTCGAGCAATCAACATTAAGAGATGTTAAGGTCATTAACATCCTCGGAGGAGCCCTTAGTGTTTTCCTTAGGAGTTGCTAGTTCTAGTTTTACGGCGGGTCGAGTAATTTATCCTAGCGCTGTTTTTATCATGCATGAACGCGTTCTGCCTGCAGGCCCGGTGAAAATCTCGATAACCCGTCCAAGTGGCCAGACTCCACGCAGTTTAAAGTCCTCCAGTACAGTCCTCCATTTTTCTTGATACCCTCTAGCTGTGACCATTTTGTGTGCCGGATAAGAGTGGGAGCATATTCCTTCAGGAGTTGGTGCCAGAAGCAATCCATCTTCTCTTTCACTAACTTCCAGGACTTTGAGGACAGCTTAGTTGTTGGTTGGTCGCTGAAGGCCACTGAGGGTGTGTAGACAATCGCTCTGCCAAGAAGGAAATGGTTTGGCGTCAATGGAAGCTCGTCCGCACATCACTGCTGACGTGCGTCAATGGTTGTCCATTCAAAAGTCCTTCGGTTTAGGCAACGATCGTGATGAAAAGATCTCGAGAGAGGTGTGCAGACCCACGATTTAGAAAAAAAAACTAGTTGAATCATCTGAAGGCGTATCCACCACATACCACCAAAGTGAGGAGCAGAGGGCGGGTTCATCTTCCAACTGATGTTCTGATCCTGTAATTAGCTTGCTAAATCTCTATAGACTGATAGTGACTCTAAACGTAACTGCTTTCTCTTTGCGATAAAGTGAAAAACATCATGTTGAAATGGATGTTGTAAGTCGTTGTTGTCTTTGTCGTCGGATGCCGTATTATCGCATCGTTCCTGACGACAGCCAGCGTTTCTTATAAAAAAAATCGTAGGTGATATTGCTCAAAAAGGTCTCAGTAGTAATAGATTTAGGAAAATTAACTTTCAAATGTTTGAATGATTTTAATATCGACCTTTTTTATCTGTGATGATTTAATAAACTAATAGAACTTTCAATTTGTTTTAAAAGTTTTATTACAATGGACAATACCGTTCAATAGGCATTTTTTTGAGTTTTTTCAGAACCTCAAGTACCTAATTTTCTACTTATGTTAAGATGAGTTATGAACTCTACAGCGTTTTTTTAAATAAGATTGATAATTGGGGTCGACTAAGTCCTAAAGAAAAACAATTGTACGCTAACCAATTTTTTTTCAAACCCTGTAGTGTTTTTCAATGTTTTAACATGAAGCACCAAAATTATGACAAATTATTTACACAAAATCTATCTCTTTATTGAACTGACTATGTTATAACGGACATTGACAAATTAAAACGCCAAAACTCCTCACAAATACCGATAACTGACTATTAATGGAATGCAATGAACATAAATAAAGCAGAAAAAAGGAGTTATCTGGCCTGAAAAAATAACATGTGGTAGGGTTTTCAGATGTGTAGTACTTCTACCGCTGAAATATTTCGGAAATTGGAATGTTACCGGGTGTGTATCACTACTGATTGAGTAGTTCGAAAAATTTTGCAATTGAGAAAAACTTCACTCCTTGCCATTTTAACCATCGGAAACCAAGGGGACTTCAAATCAGTATGTCGCCATGAAAATATGTGTCGAATCATGCTTCTTCTTTTAGTTTTCAATTATTTTAGTTGCCATGTTTTGTTTCCAACTTTATATTTCAATCAAAAAATACAAAGGCCCACGTTTACAAATGAAAAGTCACGAATGGCTCGAGCAATCAAGATTAAGAAAAGTTAAGGCCATTAACAAAGCGTTATACAACCCTTTTCTACCAGGACTATGTGATATATTGGTCTCGGCGCTTGAAGACGGAGCAAATAGCATAGGTAAATCAGAATTGCGAAAGAGTTGTTTGTTTCTGAGATTCGGAAACGTACAAATGAATGGCAATGAAAATCATCGTTAATTTTTGAAAATACTAAACTTCGACATTTGGAGGTTAATATAATAGTTAACTATATTTTACTCTCAAATTTTTGTGTACAATGTTAAGATAAACTTCCTCTGAACGTCTTTTTTTGTTCCGACAGATTATATGAGCTCGAGTGGTTTTTTTTCTCGAGGCAGATTTTGACCTTATTAACAAGGAATTTTGACGGAATTAATTTATATCAGCCGAAAAGTATTGTTGTCCTCAGCTCAAATTTAAGCAATACTTTGTCTGTGATTGTTTTTTGCAAGTTATGAAAGTGTAAAAATTGCAAATATTTTGGGCCATTTTGGGACAATTTACGCGATATATTTTGCGCAATTAATGCCTGAGCGAGTTTTATTTGGTCTTAGAAATTGATGTTATAGACAGCAACGATCTTGTATTTACAAAGTTTCCAAAGTCAAGTAGTATCAACATGGCTTACAGCAAAAATTTTCCATTTTTTCTTTCTACAAAATGTGGGGCTCAATAAATTAGACGACCAGAAAGTAACGGAATTTAGATGAAAACTTGCGTGCAAGTTGTTTGAAATTTGTTTACAGACTTAAATTCAGTTTCGGTTGAATGAATACTGGTGTTCAACCACAAATCAAGTTATTAATTTCACATTTCTATAACTTATGCATTTCAAAAAATGTCATTTACTTTTTCGGCTTAATGATTTTTAATTAACTTACGATAATAATTTTGATCAGTTTTGTGTAACATGCTCTTTTTATACAACTTGATTCTAACGAATATTGTTAATCCAGTTCTTAATCGTCTGCAATCACAAAAAATTATCGTCTAAATTCCGTTTTACTACGATCGTCTAATTTGATTGTCGTCTATTTTCCAAAGCCCCAAAAATGTAGATTAATTTACCCTCGATATAACAAAAGAAGCTGCCAAACTACATCAACTATTAGGCAATTTTTCTTATATAGATGCGATAACCAACAATTTTTCTGCGCATTTAATGATAATAGATCACGATATAACTGAACGAAAACTTGCAGTCAAGAAACAAAATTTTTTTTGTTTTTTGTAAACAATTATAACATAGAAAAATAAATGCAAAAAAAAACAAAATACAAATTACATTACTAAAAAATTGATAGAATCCATACAATCAAAAAACTTTCAATCCAAGGAGAGCATTTCAGGGCAAATTTTTCTATATGCATTTTTTAAATAAACGACGAACAAGAAAAAAACGAATTCTGTTGAAAAAATATTCGACTAGAGAAAGTGAAACGTTTTTCAAATTCTTCTTGCAAAATCAAGTCATAAAAATAGTTTTGGCTTAATGAAACTCCTTCAGAAGTTCACTGATAACTAATAAATGGAAAGAAATCAAGATCAGCGTTGATATTCCGGTTAAAACTTCCAGGTTTCCTGGGATACATTGTAAAAGTTTTCAGAACCAAACTAACTACGATTACTAGGGATAAAATCACGCTATACCCGTCGATTGTTGATAACATAAATTAATTTTAAGCAATATGAAAACATGAATTTTTGAAAAACTCGAACCAAAATTAAAAACAACTTTGGTCATCACGCAATTAGAAAAATCACGTTAAATATGAAGTTCATACATAACAGTAAATAAACGAAATTTAAATTACAATAAGA